CAAAAAAAAAAAAAAAAAAAAGTTGCACTTTCATTATAGGTACATGGGGGCTTTTGGTTTGTCCTGCAGCCTCCATTTAAGTGCATTCGAGCTGAAGTCTGTAAACTGATACAGGAACTCTGGTTTGAGGCTGAGGATGGCCTACCAACGGTTTTTTAATCATTCAGGCCTTGGAATAAACATTTAGGTATGTTATAGAGGATTCTAGGCTGCATGCCTCTCCGACGTTATTAGAAATACCTTTCTGGGGCTTGCACAATATGCAGAAGCAATTTGGGCATAGCTTTGTTTATGGGAAGAACCTCCAGCCTAGAAATTGATTTTTATATGATTCAACCTTAATTATGTTTTTTTTCTGCCTATGACTCATTAGCCTTTGAAGTAAAAATTTCCCCCATCCACTTTTAGAGACTTTTTTCAGTCATTTGGTATTTTACGTGGTTTGCTACATATCAGGACTCATGATGGCAAGGCCATGAGTTGGGACGCAATATGGACCAGCCTGATTTGGTTATAGATTATAAAAATAATAATAGCGCTCACTAACACGTGGTACTTTGTATGTGCTATGCACTATTATAAGCACATAACGTATTATGAACGAATTTATCCCTCAGTGCACCTATAATGTGGACTAATATTATTATCCCCTTTTGCAGTTGGGGAAGCTAAGGGATTGTGAGGTTAAGGAACTTGATCAGTCTCACAGCTGGTAGTGGTAGAGCTGGAATCCAAATGGTATAGCTGGTAGACTCTGGAGTTCCTGCCCTTGACCCTTATGTCAAATTGCTGTGCCCGTAGCCCCAGCCAGTGGGTTCAAAGGTCTGTGCCACTGAACATGAGGAGGATTGTGTTTCTTATTTGTTTGTTCATTTGTTCATTCATCCAACAACCTGCTGTGCACCTCACATAGAGCTGCACTGGTTCTTTTGAGCTAAACAAGGAGTGTGGTCTCTGCCTCATGGAGTCGTGGTGTGAAGGGAAAGGGATGACCCATCACCACCGGGAAAAAGACGAGTCATGCAATTGATGTGGAGTCGATAGGGTCATGAAGGAGGGAGGACAGCACAGTCTATTAATCAGAGCATCCCTGGGAAGTCCGGGGGGTAACATACATCGCTGAGATTTGTCATGTAAACCACTGCTTCTGGCAACAAGGTCTGAAAGGGCAAACCAGTTTGTCACTTGTTTTTAGGTTGTATGTTTAATTAGCAGTTCTGAGGAATAGGTACAGTGAAGCTCTAACATGTCCTTATCCTTATTAGCTGTTGCTAGAAGTGAAAAGTGGAAGTGTATGAGGTGGGCCGTATCCCTAACCTGAAAGTGAATGTGAAAGTGGCACGAGAGAAAGTTATTATTCTGATAGGTTAATTGAGTGACATAAAGGATTGTTTGTTATTATTCTGATAGGTTAATTGAGTGACATAAAGGATTGTTTGTTAAAGAGGTGAGCTGCTCGAATCCTTTGCCAGCTAGGTATTAAGTCGCCCAAGTATTCTTTCTTGACTGGGGCCAGATCAGCTGATTCGCTGGAACTCTAGGCCAGGAGGACCTCCTGATCTTTGCTAAGTATAACCTTCAGGGTTTTTTGTTTGTTTGTTTCACTTTTCGGCTGTGCCACTCGGCTTGTGGGATCTTAATTCCCTGACTAGGGATCGAACCCATGCCCGCTGCATTGGAAGTATGGAGTCTTAACCTCTGGACCGCCAGGGAAGTCCCCAGGTTTATTTTATTTATTTATTTATTTAACATCTTTATCGGAGTATAATTGCTTTACAATGGTGTGTTAGTTTCTGCAAAGTGAATCAGTTATACATATACATATATCCCCATATCCCCTTCCTCTTGCGTCTCCCTCCCTCCCACCCTCCCTATCCCACCCCTCTAGGTGGTCACAAAGCACCGAGCTGATCTCCCTGTGCTATGCGGCTGCTTCCCACTAGCTATCTACCTTACGTTTGGTAGTGTATATATGTCCATGCCACTCTCTCACTTTGTCACAGCTTACCCTTCCCCTCCCCATATCCTCAAGTCCATTCTCTCGTAGGTCTGTGTCTTTATTCCTGTCTTGCCCTTAGGTTCTTCATTACCTTTTTTATTCCCCAGGTTTATTTTTTAAAGAGATTGTTTTCTGCTCTCAGGGAGCATTTGCTAGCGATGATTAGAATTCAGGTACTTTGCTTCCTGCTCTATACATATTCTAGATCAGTGTCAATTTTCTGAGCCTAGCTTTGCTTCCCGTTTTTTTGTTTGTTTGCAACCACTCATTTTCCATATTCTTGATTTTGCTCCTTTTATTCAGAAAGCACTTGGCTGCTAGATATGCTCGGCGCTTTGCAAAGCACTGAGGATGCAGAAATGAACGTGACAGGCTTTAGCCTTAAGGATATCCCTGTTTAGCGGGGGCTAAGGTGACAGACACGTCAACAAGTGTGTTGGGAGAGTAGAGGTGCACACGGGTTGCCTGCACGATGTCGTCTTACATGAGAGATGTGTTGAACAGATGTGACAGGTACTCTGTTTGCAGACCTTGTTGCCAGAAATGCAGGAGGGAGCTGAGCGCACAGGTCTGAGTTGCTGCCTTACCTCTATTTCCTTTTGGTTTTCTAGCCCCCCGCTCATCTCTCCCTCTTATCTCCTCTGCCTCCTGCCCTTTCTTGTCTCTTGTGTGCTTTCAGGTGTCTCAAGGCCACCTGCTGTCCTCGTGTGCCTTTCGGGGATGAATGGCAGTACGCTCTGGTCTAGTCCCCTCCCCGAGGAGGCCCGAGATATTACCTGTCTGGATCTAATGCCAGGGAGAGTGGCCGAAACCATCTGCCTTGTGACGGGGACACACAAGATGCTCAGTGCATTCAACGCGACATCAGGTAAGCATCACTGACTGCGGGGCTTCTCTGGTGGCACAGTGGTTGAGAATCCGCCTGCCACTGTAGGGGACACGGGTTCTTGCCTGGTCCGGGAAGATCCCATGTGCCGCAGAGCAACTAAGCCCGTGCGCCACAGCTAGTGAGCCTGTGCTCTAGAGCCCGCGAGCCACAACTACTGAGTCCGTGTGCCACAGCTACCGAGTCCGCGTGCCACAACTACTGAAGCCTGCGCGCCTGGAGCCTGTGTTCCGCAACAAGAGAAGCCACCGCAATGAGAAGCCCGCGCACTGCAATGAAGAGTAGCCTCGCTCGCTGCAACTAGAGAAAAACCCACGCGCAGCAACGAAGACCCAACACAGCCAAAAATAAATAAATTAAATAAATAAATTAAAAAAAAAAAAAAAAAGATCACTGACCACGAGAGATCCCTGTTCCTGGGAGGCCTAATCTCAGGTTAGAACAGTCTGGTAGGGAAGGGACCGTTCCACTCTCCCATGGTGGGAGGTCTGATTTCCTGCTCTGCAAGGTGGATATTAAGGGAAATAAGGAGAAAGGGTTTGAGCAGAGTGAGTAATAGATCCATGGTTCAACCTGCTTGGTGATAGGATGGGGCTAAATTCAGTTATCCAAACAGAACCTATCCCTAGGCTTTCAGTTTCTAAGTAATCTCCCTTCTCTGTTCTTTGTATAGAAGACCATGGAGGTTTTTCTCTTTGTATTCAATATTTGACATACAAGGGTTCATATGTGAACTTGGGCATTAACCACTGAAAAATATGCCAGTGAAGAAACTAAGGTCTGTGGAGGCATGTTGATTTGGCCTCTTTTATCTTTTTATCACATTCAGACATATGTGACAAAAGGAATGGAAGAGAATCAAATATAATGAAGGCTCCTTACAGAGCCTTATACTTCCAGTATGCTCATTAACCTTCGACCTGAGTGAAGCTGAGTAAAATAGCCTCTTTCCTAGTTGCAAAGGTTGGAGTTTGGGAGTGGGGTTCTTCTGAGTGAAAAAAATTTGCGTGTGAGTTAACTCTAGCACTGAATTCATCTTGAAAACCTTTTATGATTTCTCTACTTATATAAACACATGGTAGAAGGAGCGAGTTGGGCTTCTGTTTGGCTGCCCCTGGATGGTTCCTTAGGAGTTGGAATCATCTCTAACAGATCCATTCCTCCATCCCAGACAAGTGGCCTCTTCTTTCTTAGAGAGTCTTCTGCATGTCCATGTTACCTAAAAAAATCCAGGTGTGAAGTTATTACATGGGCTTGTTAGCCAGATACTTGAGGATTTCAGTTCATACTCCCTGCTCCATTTCTCCCCAGTAAGATAAAAATGAAAGGAAAAAGTGTGTAGGAGTTGCTGTCTGTCATTCAGCCTGTTGAGTCTCTTTTCTGGCCTGGGAGCATTGCATCTGCCTTTTGCAGAGGCAGAAATCCCTAATTGTGATGAGTGTACTTATCTTTCCCCAGGGAAAGCCATTTGGACTTTAGACCCACACTACTTACCCAACGGTACCCTGGCTGCCCCAGGCGTGGTGCTGCCAGACCTGGATGAAGATGGCATTAGAGATCTCGCAGTTCTGGTCATTGGCGAATTGCAGGTATGCTCCATGTTAGGTGGTCCTTGTTTCTTACAGGGAAAGTGTCAACTTTGGTCATTTCCTAGTATCGTTATTAGAAGTGCTGCTTGAAACCTTCTCATTACAAGGGCTTAGGTTTAAATAAATTCTCTTTGTGAGATTAAGTGAATAAATTACCATTATGATCCCATTTTCCAGGTTCCATTGACCGGCATGGCAGAGCTTGGGAGCCAGATAGGTCTATGTTTGAATTCCTGCTCTACTGCCCTGTGGCCTTGGGCAAACCACAGAGCCTATCCCAGCCCTGATTATTTCGTATGTAAAGCGGGGACGTTATTCTACTTGCAGGATGGTTATGAAAATTAGAACTAACATATATGAAATGCCCAGAGTGGTGCCTGTTTTTCGCCAAGTGTACATATTGCTGGTTTTACTATATATATTTAACTTTTATTGCAACTATAAAACAATGAGACAGACGGATAGAAAGCTCATAAGATATATTTAGAAAAAAATTGTAAGTCAAACAAGTAACAACAACAGCACCCAAAGAAAGAGTTGTCGTTTAAGCTGTGCCTGCAGATTTTGGTTCTGGTACAGTGGTCCCTAAATTATGCTTCTCAGTTATGCTTTGCTGGAACTCCAGTGACCTGGAACTAGTTATTCTCTGCACAGATAAAATAATAGTAGTTTTTTTTTTTTTTCCCGTAAATCACAGGAAAGAATATATTAATGGACAGAATTATTCAATTTTAAGTTTTTATTCCTCAGCTTTTTCTCAGAGCTTCTGTCAAACTTTCTCTTAGACTTTTTCTCAGACTGTCTAGTGTGAGTCTGCCAGGAAAGGCTCGTGGACGACAATCAGCCAGGAGTATTTGTGGGAAAATGTGGCTGCCGATCGTTGTGCCTCATTTGATAGCTTATTTTAATTTTACTAGACCTGGTTGTGATTTTTGTAATGTATATACGGAGTGGAGTTACAGAATCTGCAAGTAAAATTATTTAGAATGGAATTAAACCTATCAGTACTGGGCTTCCCTGGTGGCGCAGTGGTTGAGAGTCCGCCTGCCGATGCAGGGGACACGGGTTCG